TCAACCCCATCATGATTCCGCAGTGGGGAGCCCACACCGTGCCGGACATGCCACGTCCATATGGGACTGCGGCGCTCCGTACGTGGCGCTGGTCTAGAAAGACTGATCAGAGACTGCTTTTAGATATTTCCCACAGCGCCGAGTTGTCGCGACTCCTTGTCCCGCGGCCAAGTGGTCTAAAAAAGGCTCACAAAACTTCAAAGATGAAGGGATGGTCCCTATAACAACAGAAAAAGAATCGGCTGAGCAAGAACTGCGGTGGAACGCGTCCAGCTCCAAAACAACGGCACTCCTCGTACCCACGACCCATCTCTTCCAGGGAAAATCTCACCCAACACGTGGATGCGCTGATACTGACACCCATTCCGGGTATGAGAGCGTCAAATTAAGTCCTGAAGGTGACGGAACATGATGGACTCAGAGATGCTCCGTATGCCGCACTGGTTTAGAGCACTGGAAGACGGCATTGGGTGCTCTCCGGCGACAGGAGAGGCATTCTCGTTCCATCACTGGTTCTGCAATCTGCACTCTGGTGAAACCTGTGGATTCTTGTGAGGCTGGAGCGAGCTCCTTTCAGCCATCATGGCAAACCTGTCAACTTCAGAAGAGCTGTCTAGATGGGTCGACACTTTGATGGGAAGTAGCGATGCCGCCCGCCTCCCCCCGTAGCCGAACTGGCCGGCGTATTGAAAATGGCACTAAGAACTGATTCGTGGCTCACATATAATGAGGTGGATTTATGGAATTTTTTTCCTTCGAGTGGGTTCGATTTCCATCTGGCCGACCACGGAAAGCCAGAACATTCATTCACCTGCACTACATGTCTCAATTCACGCCACTGCATCCTCATTTGCCTCTCTATCTGAACTAAGGTGCGAAATCGCGAGGATATCATCTGTACTATTTTGATATTTGGAAATTGCAATCCACGTTTGTGGCTTGGGCGGAGTCGGGCACACCGTTTGCGCTTCTTGTTGAAACACTCCTCGTTCTGAGGCGATAAGTACACGTAAAGCTTTAAGTTGATGCAAATAACGACAAAGAATTTACGTGTCTTCTAGCATGGGAGCCAAGTTCACGAAGGCGCAATTGGCCTAAAAAGGCTGCGCATGACATTCCTCAAGTGCATTCCGTTTTATCATGGAATCCTTCCACTTGAAAACTGGTTGTTCTCGGGCAAGAGGAGACATGCAGACTTTGCAGAACATGCTGCGCCTTTTCATAAGGCTGCCTTCATGCTTTGCAGCAGCGTTCATCAGCGACCATCAGCGTTTCGAGCGTATATCAGCGTAAGCGACTAGGAAGGAAGGTATAAATATCGACCTAGCGACCATCGGAATCTCTGGGGACGTGGAAAGCATGGATATCGATCTAGCGTCTACCAGCGTCCACCAGCGCCCAGGAGTACGGCATTGTGTTGTAGGCGGTTGCACACGCCGCAGCTTCACGCCCCTCATCTAGCTATCTCCTTCCTCCTACTTCCCCATAATCTCTACTCCTAGCCCCTGGTGGACGCCCGTAGACGCTGAATCGGTAGCCACACTTTCCTAGTCCTCCAAAACGCTGATGGTCTTTAGCGGACGCTAGTGGACGCTGCCGCAAAGTATGAACGCAGCCTAACTAGGTAACCATTTTTGTCCACTCTTCTTCGCTGAGGATGATGGGGCGTGTCAGGCATGATGTTTTTGGCTGCTTGCCACCTCGGTCTCCACCAATTGTCAAAGCGGATAAGCGACAACAATCGGTGAAAAACGACTAATGCGAACAATACGATACAGTGCCATCACCTGCCGGAAGAAAAAAAAGAGAAAAAACAAGCTGGCGCCGCGCCAACTCCAACCTTCCTTGAAACGCCTCCCCCTCCCCCCCCCCAAGTATCATGGGCGCTCAT